GCCCTCCACATGCAGCACCAGGACTGTCTCCGGGACTGGCCCTGCAACTGTTTTTGTCAGCAATGGCTCCTTACTCCCAAAAGCCACTGGCCACACTGGGTCTCTTCATTCGTAGGCCACAGCAGCATTGCCACCTTCTAGCTATTTCAGGGTCTTTTTTTTTTTAATCTTTATTGTCGAAAGTATTACAGATGCCCTCCTTACCCCCCCCCCCATTGACCTCAACTCCACACCTGCCCCTCCCAGGCCTTTACCACACTATTGTCTGTGTCCATGGGCTCTGCATATCCTATATAATAAAAGGCTAATATGCAAATAGACCTAACGGCAGAACAACTGGACCAACCAACCAACCAGTCGCTATGACATGCGTTGACCACCAGGGGGCATGCACAAAACATGGCATGTGTTGGCCACGGTGGGATGGTGAAGCAGGTACATGGGGATGCCAGACCAAGGCGGGGTGCCAGCAGCTGTCATAGGGGAGAGCCTCTGGTGGTTACTGAAAATTCTTTGCTCCTACGCATCATGGTCCTGCCTGACTCTCACACCTGCTGCCAGTGCCGGCCGCGCTCATACCTGCTGCCAGCACCTGGCACCGGTCCTGATTGCTAGGAGAGGATGCAGGCTGGGCTGAGGGACACCCCCCGCCACACACACACACACACACACACACACACACACACAGAGGTGCACAAATTCGTGCACTGGGCCCCTAGTCTCTTATATAAAAGGCCCGTAGCTGTCACACCATCATGACCAAATGAGCAGCGGCTCTCACGGCAGGTGGGGTGGGGCACGAGCTACTAGCGGCCATGGGTGGGGCGGCTAGCTGAGGCAGGCGGAAGTGAGCTACTCCCATAGGATTTCGTGCATGCTGGGCCTCTAGTATGCATATAAATTCCCCAGTTAATCTCTCCCCACCCCCCACCCCACCTTACCTCTGCAATTTGTCCCTCTGCTCCATGCTCTGTCTCTGGATCTATTTTGTTCACCAGTTTATGTTGTTCATTAGATTCCACATATGAGTGAGACCATGTGATACTTGTCTTTCTCTGACCGCTTATTTTGCTCTTTAAAGCACTGTCCAGAGCCTCTCAGATGACCCTATGCCATGAATAGACCCTCTGTTAAGCACGAGGGAGTTAAAGAGGAAGCACTTTGACCAAACATCTCTGATATTCAAGGCACATTGTCAAATAAATTAGAAGACATCAGGCATAAAAATCAGCATCAACCTTAACAACTGAAAAATTTACAAGCGAGTTCGACAGCATAGTGACAAATTCTCACCAGCTACAATTAAAGAATGATTTTATTTTTTATAATTTTTAGAGATCAAATACATTATAAATATTATAAACCTTCAAAAATTAACAGATTAGTCATAATTTTCTTTAAAATGTACATACTGCCACACAAAAATTTCACAGTCTAGGATATCAGTAATTACATCCTCCTCAAAGAAAACAGCACACAAAGTGTTTCCTGTCAAAAAAAAGTCTGTTGCCAAATCAGCCCCTACACTGTCCACAGCTTCTAAAAGTTTCTCATCCGCAGCACAGGAAGATGACTGGTTTTGAAAATGGAGAGAAGCAGAAGCAAGGAAAGCTCTGAGCAGTGCCCGTCTGAGAAGGCCATGGGTGGCCTACAGACCTGCAGGCTGCTCAGGGGTGATCTTCTTCAGGCCACGTCTGTGAGACAGAATGCTCTGTCCCCTTAAAAAAGAACCGCCGTAGGCTTGCACATGTTCGGGGAAGCACTGCAGGAGGATGTCTGTACAGAAAGTATCTTTGTTAACCCATGTCCCCATCCCCTGATAAAAGTGCCCAGGGACGGTTAGACATTTTCAGGTAAATTTCCTTAGGCTACAGATAACCCATAAACAAAAGACACATTATGCAAGCGGACAACCAAAATCAATTTGGAGCCAACGGGATTATGACTACGGTTGAAGGAGTCAGATGGCCAATTCCTGGGGGAAATGACAAGAGCAAAAAGATGACAAGAGAACAAGGCGATGTGCAACGGGCTTTGGTAATGCATGAACTGTAACAACAGAAGGCACGTGGCTACTGAAAAAAAGCCAATCTTCAGTTGTCTCCTGACCTGACCTGACCTAGTTTCCACGACCAGTATTTCAATAGGTTTGCTAAGTTCAGTTTAGTTTCAAAATGGAGTGAAGAACTAAGCAGGAACAGAGAACCAAGCCCCCTCTCACTCAGAGTTCTAACTCGGTGTCTATAAAGAGTCGCTAATTTAGATGTCTACAGAGGCCAAGTAAGTGATGTGAATGGAGGGAGGGCTGAAATAGGATGAAGAGAATGTATACCTATACTGGACTGGAGAGAGGAAGCCGTTTCACACTCTCCACATGTGGACCAAACAAACACACCCGTGCCCAGCAGGCTCAGCGCAAACTGCCAGCGTGCCACCCCGACTTAGACGGATGGCCTCTCTGCATGAGGACACGTGTTGGATGAAGTGTACTGGTCACCATCCCTGCTGTCCACTAGAATCAGGATCAAGTGATCACATCTTGGACAATGACTTACTTTAATTCAGCATCTTCTCTCCCTTCTGAGAGAAATAAACAACACTGTTAAGCTATGTACTTTCCCACAGTTGAGAAATGCAGGCATTTCCAAAGCTTGTTTTACTTTGAAAAAACATGAATGGGGTTCAAAAGTGAGGGTTCTACATGATTCCCAAAGTGGTTAGATCTGGCACAGGAGCCTCGGCATTGAAAGAAAACAGGAGAGTCCTTATGAGATGGCCTGGATGTTCGGCAACTGAGAGTAGCTCTATCCCCAAGTGGAACTGGGTAAGTTTATCTCATTGGATGAACATAAAAACTAAAAAGTCCAGGGAAGTTTTAAGAGCTAACACACACACACCCACACACACACGTGCACATGCACAAAAGCATTCTCTAGTGCCTCTGACTTGCATCTCAGTCAACTACTTCATTGGCCACACTGAGCTCCACAGTGAAGCTGAGCAGTCACTTGTGCAACAGCAAAGGTAAATGTAAACATAAACAGCAGCGGTATTTGAGGAGCCGGTGTCTCTATCGTATGTTGTCCAGATAATGCACTTCCGGATAGAGGCGGTTCACCAGAAGAGCCAGGAAGCTTTTCCCGTCGTGGAGGCAATGGCCAGGGTGCTTTATGAATTTTGCA